TTTGTTGAAGATGATAACAAACCATCTACTAGTAATAATATTTTGATGCATAACTGTCAAAAGCATTCAGTTGTAGTTGAAGCATGTGTTGGAGATAATGACAAATTACCCAGTCGCAGTATTTTGATAAATAAACAAAAACCGTGTTCAGCTGAGGTGGAATCATATGTTCTAGATAACGATAAACCACCAAACAGCCAAAATATTTTGACAAATAACCGTCAAACGCATTCAGCTCAGATGGGGGCATGCATTGAAGATAATGAGAAACCACCAACTAATCGCAGTATTTCGACAAATAAAAAACAAACGTATTCAGCTGAGGTGAAAACATTTGTTAAAGATGACGATAAACCATCAAGTAACCAAAATATTTTGATATATAAACTTCAAACGCGTTCAGCTAACGTGAAAGCAAGGGTTGAAGATAACGACAAGCCATCAACCAGTCAAATCATCACAACACTTGCACATCAAAGAAGTGCAAATAACGTGAATGTAAGTTTAGGAGATGACGACAAACCATCAACCAGTCAAATATCAATTACAAATACACAACAGAGAAATACAAATAACGTGAAAGCAGTTGACGACAAACCAACCAGTCAAATATCCATTAGACATGTACAACAAGGAAGTACAAATAACGTGGAAGCAATTGTTGAAAATAACGACAAACCATTCACTAGTCAAAACATCATAACACATGCACATCAAAGAAGTGCAAATAACGTGGATGTAAATATGGAAGATAACGACCAACCATCAAACAGTCAAAATTTCATGACTCTTGAGCATCAAAAAATTGCGCATACCATGGAAACATTTGTTGAAGATGGCGTTAAACCATCAAGCAGCCAAAATATTTTGACTCATAAACATCAAAAGTATTTACTTCTGGATGCATGCGATGAAGATAATGTCAAACTACCAACTAGTTGCAGTATTTCGACAAATAAAAAACAAACGTATTCAGCTGAGGTGAAAACATTTGTTAAAGATGACGATAAACCATCAAGTAACCAAAATTTTTTGATATATAAACTTCAAGCGCGTTCGGCTAACGTGGAAGCAAGGGTTGAAGATAACGACAAACCATCAACCAGTCAAAACATCACAACACATGCACATCAAAGAAGTGCAAGTAACGTGAACGTAAGTTTAGCAGATGAGGACAAACCATCAACCAGTCAAATATCAATTACACGTACACAGGAAAGTAATACAAATACCTTGAAAGCAGTTGACGACAAACCAACCAGTCAAATATCCATTAGACATGTACAACAAGGAAGTACAAATAACGTGGAAGCAATTGTTGAAGATAACGACAAACCATCCACTAGTCAATACATCATAACATATGCACATCAAAGAAGTACAAATAACGTGAATGTAAGTATAGAAAATGACGACCAACCATCAAACAGTCAAAATTTCATGACTCATGAGCATCAAAAAATTGCGCATAGCATGAAAGCACTTGTTGAAGATGGCGTTAAACCGTCAAGCAGCCAAAATATTTTGACTCATAAACATCAAAAGTATTCACATCCGGATGCATGCGTTGAAGATAATGTCAAACTACTAACTAGTCGCAGTATTTCGTCAAATAAAAAACAAACGTATTCAGCTGAGGTGAAAACATTTGTTAAAGATGACGATAAACCATCAAGCAACCAAAATATTTTGATATATAAACTTCAAGCCCGTTCAGCTAACGTGGAAGCAAGGGTTGAAGATAACGACAAACCATCCACTAGTCAAAACATCATAACACATGCACATCAAAGAAGTGCAAATAACGTGAATGTAAATATGGAAGATGCCGACCAACCATCAAACAGTCAAAATTTCATGACTCATGAGCCTCCAAAAATTGCGCATAGCATGGAAGCATCTTTTAAACACAATAATAAGCTATCACTTTACGAAAAGTGGAGACGAATACATATCTTTATATCAAAGAAAGTAACAACCAAGTAAAAATTTGGTCGTCAAATAATTAAATGATTTAGTTGTATCAAAATTAAATAATCAAATCAAAACAATAAATAGCTATACAGATCTAGCTGCGTGTAATGCTCTGAATTTAAAAAACAAGTAATATATATCTTATCCTTTCGATAAAAATTTTAATACTGTAGGTATATTATTAAAGCTTTAACGACTTATAAAAAAATATACTTAATAAGTACTTAATAAATAAATAAATAAATCTAAATCTTTAATCATTATTATTATTATAAGGTATTCATTCGGAACAGTTTTTGCTATGGCCGGGATCAAAAGAATACTACTATTACTAAAGTTATGAATTGCTTCACATATTGATAGATACTGGTCAAGTGTTATTTTTTTTAAAGATAATCTTAAGTTGCTTGGTATTTATTTGTACTTATATCTAATTTTGAAACTGACCAAAGCTTATTTAATATTAGAAATAAAAATTTAGATCGTTACAGTAGCATTTTACCATTATTATTTGTGGAAAAAATTCTTTTTTGACCAAAATTCTGCATTAGTTAAAATTTTATTCCTAAATTGTGTATTTGTAGATTTGCTTGTGAAAACTTTGATCGTGGCAAAATCTGGATAGTACTAGTATACTGCATTTATATATGTTGAATTATTTAAAATTTTGCATCGTTAGTTAGAGTTGTGACATCGCATAACAAAGTCCATTTTAGCACAAATAATAGATCACTATAATATTTTCCATAGTGATCGCTATTAATAGTTTGCTTCGACCAATGACTTGGCCTGTATTATGTCAAGGGAGGTATATTATATTAGAAAACATTTGTACATTTTTTTTTTCAACACACTAAATTAATTATATCTTATCATATCTACCATCAACTAAATAAAAAAATTTTTCCCAAAATGTGGGTCTTTGAATTTTATTAAAGTAGCTTATAAAAAAATATCAGCCAAATCGAAGATAATGAGAAAAAGGCGCGGAGATGATGTTGTAAGCAATATTAAGTTAAGTCTAGATATAGGAATATAGCTATAAAATCTATATCTATACTATAGAATCTATTCTATAGTAATTAAAATTGATATATGTTTTTAATATTTCATTATTGAAGTTTTTGATTAATATTGGTACTTAAATATAAAATATATCGAAATTATATAGTTTTTGTTATTGGTTTTAGATTTTATTGTTATATATGTGGGGTTGGCAATGCTTTTAGCTAAGAAGTAGTAGAAAAGAAACAGTAGAAAAGAAGCAGTAGAAAGGAAGTGTTTGACGAATCAAATCGAAAGTGTTTGATTGTTATATATCGTGGGTTCTGACACCTACTTGTATGTGGGCTTGATTTATTTAATAGAAAATATGATTTAATTAAAATATAAGTATCAAATATGTTCGACTAGTTTCGTCGAGGTCTTCCTTTCTACTACTTCTTATGCCTTGTTTTCACTATGTCATTTTAAATGACAATTATAATTGACGGGTGTGTCAAATGCGTTTTCATTACATGAGAAGAATGCGTATATGATATCATATGACTACCCGTTTTCATTATACTGACAATATTTGACATTGAAAATGACCTAGTGGAAACGAGGCATTAGTTAAAATCTTTGCTAATCACACATATATATAGAATAATATATTATTATATTAAATGTGTATAATAAGATTTTCTGTTCATATGTATAAGTCTTTTATAATAGTCATTGATTTTGAAGACAGTTTATTGAATTAATTTATCTAGTTTTAATGGTCTTCATTGCAAGTATATTTATATCTACAACTGAATCTATTCATATTCTATCTATTTCCATTTTAAATGGTGCAAACTGAATTGTTTTTAGTTAAAAAAAAAATAAAAAATGTGATATAAAACTAAAATAACAAAAATATATTTCAAAATGTTCAAAAGATAGCAAAAAATTTATATCAAATTTTTGTTTACATAGCTGTAAAAATTTTACAAATGCCATTGTTTTTATTATATTTTTTTAAATCATCAATAGTAGATCACCTCTTAATAATATTTGAATTTTTATTCTTTATGTAGATACATAGAGTATCTTACTTAAGTATTTACAAAGTGACCCAAAAAATGTTGAAATATATTTTTTCTGGTTGCATTTTGTATTTCTAGTAAAAATGGAAATGAATCAAAAATACCTCAAAAATACAGCGTTCTTTAAAAAATTTCATTCATTTTAAGAGCAATAATACTTATTTCAATAATTCACTCAATTATATTAAATATTTTTAATATCTTTTATTTACTGGAACTATCTAACTTTTGCAATATTTTAGTTTTTGTGTAATATTTATGCTTCCTTGTCTTATTTTTTTTTTATTACAATATTTTTATAAATTTATTCATTTATGCAATAAAATAAAACATTAAATATTTTACAAATATTTTTTGTGTATTTTTTTATTTGGTGAGTTAGTTTGCATTTTATGAACGGAAATGTTAATTTCTGGTTGTATTTAGAAATTCTATGAAAACATATTTTTAATATGTAAATAATCGTTTGTATTGTATAATTACAACTTCAAAAAATCATTTATTTATTAGCCAGCCTTCGACCAGAATAAATTGAAATTATTTATGCATTTAAATTGCTAAAATAGAAAATAACTTTAATATATACAAAAACTGAAAAAATATTCTCATCAAAATAAAAATATTTGAAATGCTAAATTACAGAATAAGAAACTATTTGCCTTCGGTTGCTTGAATTTTGAATTGAAAAAAAGGAAGAGGATTTTATCATAGATAAAAATATAGTTTTTAGTATTTAAATAGCTGCCTGCCCTCAGGAACTGAGCTGAAAGCCTTGACAGCATATACATGACATCTGTTTAATTATATTATTTTATATTTTGCAAATTACTGTAAAAATAAATTAAATAAATAAAGAACTACACATTTCGGAGTTCTGAACTATTTTAAAATTATTTTAAATAAAAACAATAAATAAATTTATTTACAAAAAATTTTTATATGCAGTGATAATTCTATCAAAGACGGGACTGACTGCTAAAGAGAACTGTCTGCTTTAAAAAAGGCATTTCGCATTAAAAATTTTAAACAACAATTAGCAATATTGCACGGGTAATTGATATTTGTTTATAAAAGTATCATAAACAAGGAATATAAAGCTCCTCTACCATCATAATATACAATATATAACTAACTGTTACTCAATCACATCAATGTAAAAGCCATTCAACTGCTGGATATTACCAATGAACTAAGAAGGCTAAAGCAAACAAAACCTCATGAGTTAACATAGATAATATTATATTATAAATTATTTGTATTATAAATTATTGTACTATTATTATAAATTATAGTATTAGTATTGTATTATTATTTGTATTATAAATTATAAAACGCTAGACGAATTCATTGAAGCAGTTGCTTTCCGCTTTATTGATATTTTGACTCCCATCTTTGACATCTCTCGACTTTTGCCTTTAGGCTACTTGAAATTAAAGGTTTATATTAGTAAGCCAAGAACGCTATATATACTTAAGGCCAACATTTACCTAGAAACAGTGGTCAAAATATTGGCAACTCAATTGAAAATGCCTAAACATAGACACATAACGCCATTTTAGCTAAGCGTGGCCACTTGCAGGATGTGATCTACAGAAAGTGATACCCTATAACAACTAAGTTTCCTTAAAAGCATGGTATCACATAGGTAGACCAGAATATAAACCTTCATTTTTCTCTTTTTCATTTTCGTACTTAAATTTAACTAACAAATTTGATTTCTATATCTATATTCTATATCTAAATTATATTTCAAATGGAGTAGACAATATAGGTTAGTACTATAAAATAAATATCGCTATGAAACACTGTCTTAATTAATCCATATATAATTAAGTTAAATTTGCAAAACCTCATTTGCCTTTTATACCTCATTGATATATCACAAAGTCTGAATAACATCGGGGTGGTTCTTAATTCTTAAAGCACTATACCATAACTGCATTTTTGACGAATATTATAGGTAAATTATAGATATTTATTATGATAATTCAAAATAATATTAAATTTATATTTATTTTTTAAAATGGTAGAGATAAGAAGAGGTGTTATATAGCATCTGAATTTTTTTCAGGTTGTTCTGGATGTTCTGTGCATTAATAGTTTCATATATATTATATAAGCATGAATTATATATTAAATAATTGATATAAATACAAACTCATACTTTTTATACATTACAAACATACTCGTATACTAAAATCTCGCCAGTATTTTAAAGACATAACTTAAAGATTTCCTTGCTTTTTTTCGCTTTGTCCTCAATAAATTTATTATTCTTATTTTTAAATGACGAATTAAATCTATAATTAAGTTTAAAATTTTACGTATTTCATAAAAATTAATTTATTCACTTATTTTTTTATTATTTTTTTTTTTTTGTATATTTTATAATTTTTTTAATTCTTTAATTCTATTTTTGCTGCACAAATTTTGTGAACATGACCACGTGTTAAAAATCCAAAACTGTCAAGAATCGATATGCAAATTAAATTTGAATTTTAGTATTTCCAGATCAGAGCGCAACAACACAGCACAACGCACATCATCATCGCATCAGTAACAGTACTCCAATAACAACAACAACAGCAACAACAACAATTGCAGCATCAGCAACGGCAACAGAAATGGTATTAGCATGCATGACTGACATTGCTTGGAGCACATCAATGGAGAAGTGTATGTCCATGCGTTATGCATGTGTGCATAGATGGTTGGATTGTATCCATGCATACAAAAGCTGCCAACAAATAACCCAGGACAAAATACAAGAGGAAGGATATTATAGCTGAATATAAGCATTAAGTCATACTCAAGTATTCAGATATGAAAGTATATTTACAAGTTACTTTCTAAAAGCGGGATCTTATTCCGGGACTGCTTGTAGAACGATCGATTTCGATTAATAATATGATAAGCCTGATTTGTATGCCCGAATCACTT